TCCCAGTTTTAGATTTTCCGGGGGTGTGACACCCACGACTTCAGCACGAGAGCTGCGTGCGACACCGCAGAGGTCAAGCCCGCCTGGACCTTGTAAGGATACCTCAACGGCCAATTAGATGATTCACGTGACATGAAGAAAACGGCCCGCGGAAGCGGGATTCTGGGTAATCAGCAGGGGCGATGCCTTATAGCCGCCATTTGGGAATCGTAGGGAAGAAGCACGCCTCGATTACCACCCCCACCTAAAGCCATCCTCTCCTCTGTACTACATGATGCCTGGTTACCGGCATGAGGTGGGGGAGGGACCGTCACCTGTACGGGTCGACCATTGGTGGACCTGAATGATTTTGGCCTTTTTTGTTTACTTCTCAGGAGGTTAAGCCACCTTGTTAACAATTTTACTGGGAGTGCTGCCAGGGTACAGGCTGCTGGGTTTATTTTTATTTGTGCAAGTCGGGCAGATGCCTCCTCCGAAGGCACAGAATTACCCCCCCCCCACTCCACACTCCAGGCTTGGCGGGCCGTCGGATCGCGGCATGCTGGTCACGCAGGTTCAGCGCCACCTGTCTCTGTTTACTCGCATGCGCATCTTTGACCTTTTCGTGTGACCTCCCCCTGCCCCCACAAAGGAGTGCACAACAGCAGTCAGGGTGACCCAGGGTGACCCAGGGTGACCCAGGGTGACCCAGGGTGACGGTGCCGGACCGACGCTCGCTGGCTGCTGCAGGTAACGCCACCGGTAATGGCGAGTCCCCGCGCCAACGGATATCTTGTGAAATCGTGCTTGATGTTAGATCTCTGTTAGGCTTGTTTAATGAAATTTCAGCCAGGGACCCCCCACCGTCTCCACCAGGCTTGGGCCTGGGGTGGGGGGGGGTCCTTTAAGATAAGAGTACAAACATGAGCCGTTTAATCCAAAACGGGGCGATTGAGACGGAGGTGAAGCGGCGTTACTTTATCAGGTAGCAGCAGAAGAGCAGACTGAGAATGAAGACGAAGATGGCCGTCCCGAACACCACGATGTAGATATTCAGAGGAAGGTTCTGGAATCCTATATTCGGCATCCTGAAGCTGTAGTGAAGAGAGTCGGAGCTCATAGATATTCTGGAAGGAGAGAGGAAGGATGGACAGAATAATGAGTGGGCGTCAGATGACCAGCAGGAGGATGCATTCGTCATTCTGGTAACCTTTCCTCTAATGAAACTTCTGACAGCGAAAATAATAGACATTGGCTGCTAGCGCACATGCTAGTGCGTTATTTTCATCAGGCTGACTGTAGTTTCTCAGCAAACAGACATGTCTCCAGAAGGGGACGTTTCCACCTTTCAGATCTCTGTTGGTCCCCGTCGGGATCCCAGGACCTACGCTTATCACCGTGGCTGGGGCATCTTTCATTTCCAGGGGAGTAAAAAAAACCAGAAGATCACTCCAGACTGAATTTACTTCCGCATGTTGCATGTAGTTTCTGTGTGGTCCTGTTTCCGGAGTGACCGTGATGGTAATTTTCAATTTTCTCCATTTACTCCTCACCTACGCCACTTGGTGGGCGAATTTTCTTCCGGGAAGCTAATCTCCGCGATCGCAGGTCCGCTTCCTGGACCCCCAGTGCATTACCTGCCCCCGGAGCACGGCGAGGTCCGTCATGCTTTTCAATGCCGCACTGAATCACACAGTCACCTCTCAGCCTCCTGATGCCGCAGCAGAGTGTGAAAGAAAAAGTAAGATAATGGGGAAGAGGGACGCGCCTGTGCCTTTTAGAGCTGGTGAGTAACACGGCCGCCTAAGAGGATTTGGATTAATTGGGTATTGAAACACGGCCCACGCGCCAATTCCGGTCTCTCTGATTTACATACGGAAACTGCTGGGATGGAGCCCCACACACACACACACACACACACACACACACACCCACACACACACACACACACACACACACACACACACAAAATCTGCACCTGCGGCTGATCTTTGAATACAGGTCTTCTGCATTCCATAATTCCTGCTTTGAAGGCATCACCAGGACGGCAAGTTACCTCGCGTCAGTCAAGCAGCCACAAATCAAACCACGCCTAAACTCGACAGGACTCCTCGTGTGGTCCGCTGCGGTTGCATTCCCCGAACTCGAAAGGGGCGTGTTGGGACACGCCGGCACCCCCGACGTGGGAAGGGAACACCAGATGGGCCGCCCCTGTTCCCCTGCCCAGGAAACCCCTGATCATTGTCCCTGCCGGTTGCCACGCAGAATCCTTCCACTCACAGTGAAGTGCTGCTGACCAGGGCCAGAGTGTGGGCCTCTATCCAATGCCACGCTGGCCTGGGCATTCCAACCGCCTCCGCGCTGTTTGGTGGCTCAAGCCACCGCCTTCTACTGCACTCTCTGGTAGCCTGTGTTACACAGTAATAACTTCTCCTCTGTGCTGTTTTAGCCTGTTGCATAGTGATAACTCCTCTGCTGTTTCAGCCTGTGTTACACAGTGATATCACCTCCTCTTCTTTCAGTCTGTTACACAGTGATACTTCCACCTCTGGCCTGCTTTAGCCTGTGTTACACAGTGATACCTCCTCCTTTGCTGTTTCAGCCTGTGTTACACAGTGATACCTCCTCCTTTGCTGTTTCAGCCTGTGTTACACAGTGATATCACCTCCTCTTCTTTCAGCCTGTTACACAGTGATACTTCCTCCTCTGGCCTGCTTTAGCCTGTGTTACACAGTGATACCTCCTCCTCCTCTCTGTTTCAGCCTGTGTCACACGACGACACCCCTCCTCTGTTTTAACTTGTGTTACATAGTGACACCTCCACCTCTGCGCTGTATTAGCCCTGCTGCACAGGCCTCATTTCACGACCCCCCAGCTGGTCCCCGAGGGCCGACAAGCATCTCATGCTACATAAGGTCAGTTGGGCTGTGCTGGTAGCAGCACAGCCCAACTGCAGCACAGTCGTAGGGAATGTGAGCCTCGCTCTCCAGCTCACTGCTGGCATGGCGGCTTTTCCCAGCTCCTGTTTTCTGTTATCCGCCCTGGGGCCCCTTTTAGTCGGCGCCGCAGCAGTTTGGAGTCCAGCGTTTAAAGGTGTCATGACCTTCCGTGGGGCCCCTCAGTCCCCGCTAGTACGAAAGAGCGACCCACAGATATGTGACTTCTTTATGGCTTTAAAACGTTCCAGGTACACCTAGAAAAACTGGAGGCTCCCACAAAGGTTCCAGTATGTCTGCAGGCACTCAGATGAGCAGCGTTAATTGGATCAGACTGCACCCAGTCCAGCCCACCGTTGAAAGCAGACGATGACTGCATACCAGGTTTAAGTAACGCCGCTTTTGGGAGCCGGAAGAGCACTTTATGGTTACATAATGTGCAGCGTAAAAGTCTTTGACAAAATTACCAAAACAAATCCACACCTATTACAGTGACTACACTTCATAATTCACAGTTTATAGTTTTAATGTACCTGCAGCCTAAACTGCTGTAGGATTTTAATGCTTTTTTTTTTTAATCATCTATCGAGGTATTAGCTTGAAAAAGTTTTTCTCAGCGTGATTATCGTGATTTTTGGCATTTCCTCCCGCCTGGACAAAATAATTTAAAAATAAGAAGTAATAGCTCCAGGCGAAGATTTTAGTCAGAACGCTGAAATTGTAGAACACATATGTTAATAGTGATCAACGTAGAGCAGGACACCTTAGAGTGTGCATGACAAAAGGGTTGAGGAAGGACGGGGTGGGCACGAGGGGGGCCCGCGATGGGCACTGGGTTGATCCCGCGCCTGGGAGAGCCGAAGCGAAGCATGGCGACAAGCCCCCCTTGTGTCGCCCCACACGCGGCACCAGGAGTATCCGAGCCGGACAGCTGTAAAACTCTATCGTCACGGTAACTCGACCCCGTGGCGGTAAACAACCACAAAGGCAGCTCCTGAAGTGTCGGTCAGGCTAAGCTTTCCCTGCAGTCAGGAAGAAAAACGACTCCGAATGCCCACCCCCACAGCCGAGCTGTTTCCTTCTGTTTTTATCGTCCTGGGCCTTTCATCCATGCTGTGGGACTCCCCCCGTTTGAGGGAACGGGAAGAGGTCTTGGCGGTGGGCTCTGCCCGCCGGGGGCATTGTGGGCGGCTGGCTGCCTCCGATGGCCACAATGAGGCTTTTAACTTTTTGAGTGATAGCAAAATTACGCGAGCCGTACGCTGGTCACTCAACCGACCCCCCCCCCGGACCAGCCCCAAAATCCCCCGAGCCCTCCCAGAGCGGAGCTCAGTAATATTCACACCACGGACCGGGAAGTCCATGGTTCTGGTGGAACTGAGTCCTCTTAACAGCAGGGGAATCGAACCCGCACCCACAGTGACTTGTTGCATCCCCTGAGGAGACACTCGGGACGTGCGGTGCCCCTAGTGGCCACTCCGCAGATAACCAGAAGGCCCAGCAGACACATCCTGATTTTTCATACCGTGCAGAACCGGTTCCGAAAACATCAGCGTTTCCTAACGGGTGATGCGGAGAGGCCACGGGAGTCCGTCCTTGGCTTGCACGTGCCGTCAGTGCCGCGGTATGCTGCCTGCGGTCAGCCACACACCAACACCAGCGCGGGGCCACACAGTCGCACGAGAGCCTCTCCAGCGTAGCCCAGCAACGCTACCCCTCCCCTGCTTCCATGAGCACCGATCTTCCCACTCCTGCCCCGATGAGGCTGACAGGGCGGCAAAGGTCAATGCCAGCTACAGTACAGCAGCAATACAGTGTAACATAGTTAGCGGGATGCAGGAGCTGTTCATTTACTCTAGAATAAGGTGGTTAACCTGAATCAGTATGAAATGGCCAGTCAGTCATGTCTCAAGTGCTTTACTCTTATCTCTGCATTTCCTGGCTTTTTTTTTTTTATCCCAGGCGATTTTCTGAAACTCCGAAAGAGATCAACCACGGGTCCCGACGGGAAGCTGGACGTCCAGGAACAGAAGCTTCCCGGTACACCGTCCACTTACAAGTCACCGTGCTCCTGGAAGTCTAAAAGTTATGGTGGCTATAAATAGTAACGTGGTCTGATGGGGAGGGGGGGACAGAACTGGGTCAGTGACCAAAACGTCGAGAGCGGGAAGAGGAGAGCCACACAGAAACTCGCACATACAGCAGATTATTTACCAAGAGCTTCTCCGTTACATTGGTTACTTAGCGATTAGCGGCTATCGGCAGTTAGCTAAACTTTCACCCGACAGCCGCTCACAGTTCCAGTCTGTCTGCACGCTGACAAAAATGTTTCCCTTTGTGCTCCCTGACAACCCC